TGACCTCATTATATAAGGTCACACCCTTATCACTCTAGTCCCTTACCTCTTTATTTTTCTTCACTATACTCATCATCCACCATAGCTCTTCTTATTTCTATAGCTAGAAGGTGAACTCTATGGCCTCTAGTAAATATTGGTCAAATTAATTTTGTGTCCTCTTTTATGATATAAAATCTCTTTTTCTGGTTTTTTTGTATTGGTTTTGTTGGTTTGTTTGTTTTTTTAATGATTATATTGCCTACATAGCCTAGAACAGTGGTCGGCAAACTGGCCCCTTGAGTGTGGCTCTTCGATAAAATACCACGTGCGGGTGCTCATGTACAGTGCGAATGAAACTTTGTGGCCCATGCCACAGGGCCAAAGAGCCGCATGTGGCTCGAGAGCCACGGTTTGCCGACCACTGGCCTAGAAGAACTAACTGTGGAGGCGATGGTGCTGCTGCTGGTGGTGGTGATCATCCATTGTGTTGCTTCTGGATTTAACAGTAATGCTTCTTGAACAGCCACATTTTTGGGGAAGGGTAGTATTTATTTTTATTGTCGAAAGTATTATAGGTGTCCCCTTTTTTTTCCCCATTGGCCCCCTCCACCCCACATCTGCCCCCACCCTCCCAGACCTTCACCGCACTATTGTCTGTGTCCATGAGTTATGCATCTCTATAATATTAAAAGCGTAATATGCTAATTAGACTGGACAGCCGAACTACCTTCCGGACATCATTCCAGACGTCTTTCCAGATGAAGTCACAGTGGCAGGGGCCAAGGCAGAGGTGGTCAGGGCCGATCAGGCAGGCAGGCAAGCAGTTAGGGATGATCAGGCAGGCAGGTGAGAGGTTAGGGGTGATGAGTTAGGCAAGCAGAGTGATTAGGGGTGATCAGTCAGGCAGGCAGGCCAGCGGTTAAGAACCAGTGGTCCTGGATTGCGAGAGGGTACAGGCAGGCTGAGCGGACTCCCATCCCCTAGTGCACGAATTTCGTGCACCAGGCCTCTAGTATGCATAAAAGTTCTTTGGTTAATCTCTTCCCACCTACCCCACCTTCCCTCTCACATTTGTCAATCTGTAGAACAGCCACTTTTTAAAAAATATATATGTTTTAATTGACCTATAGAGAGAGGAAGGGAGAGGGATAAAGAGATGGAAACATCAATGAGAGAGGAACATCATGTATTGGCTGCCTCCTGCATGGCCTCTGCTGGGGATTGAGCCTGCAGCCTGGCCATGTGCACTGACAGGGAATTGAAACAGCAACCTCTTGGTTTCTGGGTCGATGCTCAATTGCTGAGCCACACCAGCCAGGTAGAACAGCCACTTTTAAAGTGTGGTCTGCTTTGTCTTGACAGGCTGTCCCTTAGACACTGTTCAGAGGTTCACAAAGTGAAATTTTTTTTCCTAATACGACTGAGACATTACGTCAGAAAGTTTTATCATGCTAAGAAAGTAGCTTTTATTACTAGGTTACTTAATATGTCATGAGGAATGGATGTTGAATTTTATTAGAATGCTTATTAAGCATGTAATAATTTTTTCCTGTGAGCCATTGACCTATATTAATCTAATAGATTTTATTAAATATTATTTCTTGCATTTCTGGGATAATCCTTATTTATCTTGTTTTAATGCAGCATTGGATACTGTAATTAGAAATGTTGTGTTTTATTTTCACAGGAAGACTAGTATATAGTTTTGTTCCTTAACCCTTCTCATTATCACAGTTAGACCACCTTCATAAATGGAAAAGGACCGTTTCCTGCTTTCTCTCTTGGAAATTGTTTTTCCTTGAATGTTTAAAAAATATATCTGTAAAACTATATGAGTTCCACGTTTACTCAGGATTACTGGCCTATTTAGGTTTTCTTCTTAAGTTATTTTTGCTTATTTATACATGAGATTTCCCCCCAGGAAATTACCCATTTAATTGAAATCTTTCTAGTTTCCTTATGGTACTTGTATTCTCATTTTATTTCCTTTTAATCTATATATAGTTGTTTTCATTCTTTCATTAGACTTACCTTTGGCTTGCCTACTTTAATTGCACTGTTTTCTTCTTTATTATTTCCTTCTTCCTGCTTCCCTTAACCTTGTTTGTGTGTGTGTGTGTGTGTGTGTGTGTGTGTGTGTGTTGATGTTTAACTAAATTTCTATGTTAAATATCCAAATCCTATTTCATGCTTCCTTGTTTCATAGTATATCCATTTAAATCTGTTGAGTTGCTATGCTACCCTTTTTCAGGAAAACAAAACACGTAGTATTGTGTTTCAGGGTTAATGTGCAAACAAAATAATGTTCTTTTGACATCTTAGGATTTTGTATGGGCGAATGAAGAATAAGACTGGGAGTAAAACTCAGGGGAAATCTGCGTCAGGCACCCGCATGGCCATTGTTCTGAGGTTCCTGGCTGGGACCCAACCAGAGGAGATCCAGATATTCTTGGACCTGCTGTTTGAACCTGTGAAGCACTTCAAGAATGGTAGCTGTCAACCTCCTGACACTCTGAATGTGTGTTGTCTGCTGTAGACTTCTAATGTCTCAGGCTAGGTGTCCGCTCTTGGTATCTTTCTGATGGGATTGCTCCTCGAAACCTCAGTGGTGGTCTTTTTGGCTGAAATGCAATTCATATTTCATAACTGTAATTTTGTTACTGTTATGAATTGTAATGTAAATATCTGATATGCTATATGTGTTTTCCGATGGTCACGACCCACTGGTTGAGAACGGCTGCTTTACAGACAATTCAGTTAAACCTTAAAACAACCATATGAGGTATCATTAACTTTTGCCCCCATTTTATAAATGTAGAAACTGAGGCTTAGAGAAGGAAGTATTTTGTTCATGGCCTCTCAGCTAGAAAATGGTTAGAATTCTAGTCCAGATCTTTTTTACTACAGAACCTCTAATCCAGTTTCATAATTGCTTTAGGCAAACGTATACTAGTATATTTATTTGTAGGATAATGTGTGGCATTTGTTTTGTATTTTTTTGTGAAAATGGATCCAGCAGTTAAAAAGGTTTTCACTCAGTATAATGTTGCTCAGTGAGGGAAGCTGGCTCTAATGAATACGAGATTTTGTTCAGTGTAATAGCCTCTGGTTAAAAGGGCAGCTATAAATGATACTCTCATGGATGGAACACTTAGGTATGTGAATCAGCGAGCTATCATCTCATACCATTTGGTTAGAAATAAAGCTCAAGCATTAAAAGTTCAATTATGAAATAAGTTTATAAAGGACTATTGTTTCATTTATTTCCCAAGGGCTACAAGAAAAATAAAACATTTGATTCTCAGCCCCCCAGGAGCTTATAATGTAGCCAGATATTTTCTGTGAAACTCTGAAGTCATCATAGTCAGTGGAAGCTGAGAGAGAAAATGCTGGGAGAGTTTCTAGATGGAATAAAAGACTTAGTAGCTTGCATTTTGAGAATAGCATAAGTAGGATGAGAATTGGGCTTAGACACTTAGTTCTGTCACAAGTTTCTTACTCTTTTATCCCTCGGTTTCCTCATCTATCCTATATAATAAAAGCCTAATATGGTAAGTGTCCTGTTGACCAGTCCACCTTTCAACCAATCAAAGTGTAATATGCTAATGATATGCTAAGACTGCTCAACCACTCACTATGATGTGCACTGACCACCAGGAGGCAGACACTCCCACCGGTAGGTTAACTTGCTGCTGGGGTCCGGCCAACTGGGACTGAGTGAGATGGGCCAGACATGCCCTGGAGCTATCCCACGGTCCCTTCCCGTCTGGCCAACCTCCCATGTCTCTCCCTGGCCCCGATCATGCACCAGTGGGGTCCCTCAGCCTGGCTGCACCCTCTTGCAATCTGGGACTCCTTGGGGAATGTCAGAGAGCCCGTTTTGGCCCAATCCCACAGGCCAGGCTGAGGGATCCCACTGGTGCACGAATTCATGCACCGGGCCTCTAGTAAAGCAATAATATTAGTGAAACCTAACATACCTAGCTCATTGAACATTTGGTAAGGATCAGAAGGAGAAAATCAATGAGGAAAGTATATTATCATCTATAGATTACTATAACAATAGAAAATACTGTATTACTGAGGGAAATTGAAAGGAAGCTATAATAACAATGATAACAATAAGCTGTAACAATAACAAAATAATAACAAACTACTATTGCCTTTTACATGATACCTCTGTTCCTCTGTTTCCCTAGGAGAATGCCATTCTGCAGTTATCCAGGCAGTGAAAGATTTGGATTTGTCTAAAGTTCTTCCTGTAGGTCGCCAGCATGGTATCTTAAATAGCCTTGAAATAGTATTGAAGAACATTAGCCATCTGATCAGTCCATACCTACCAAAGATCTTGCAGATACTGCTCTGCATGACAGCGACTGTGTCACACATCCTTGACCAACGAGAAAAGGTGAGAGAGATTCTCTGTACATGCTTTTGGGGGCGCTAGTAAGAGTCTGTTGTATTTGGGAAATTGGTTGCAACTTGAATACCTCACATCCTTTCAGGTTAAATCTGTCTTATGCAAAGTGTCTTTAAAACAGTTTTTCATATAATGGAGATCTTCATTGTTAGCAGTATTTATGTATGGTCAGAAAATGCAAATTATATCAAGTGTATATTTTTTATTTATTTTTTTTATGAAAACAGATGTTTATTACAGAACATTATTTTTTCTTATTAATTAAAAGCTTTAAACAAAACTGCTTAATTCCAAAAAGTGACTGATTTGGTCGCATGCAAATATTTTAGGCTAGAGAGGCATGCTTGTTCTTGATGAATTTACGTAGAATAAATTCTCACGACATTTGGTTCCAAAATGTATGAAATGACTTAACATTAATAATTTAAAATAAAATGCAAACATAAGGACAATTTAAACACTATTATTAAGTTATGTGTCAATTTAAGGTCAGCGATTGAAAAGATATATTTAAAAATAATCTAGGGTAAAAAAAATTTTAGGAAGCAAACATTGCCTTTGTACATTTGAAGATCAAGGGCTAAAAATCCACTCTGATGAATACCATATTAAGCAAAGGATGTATAACATCCATCATACATCTGTTTCAAAAACAGCATGTTTCCAAAATTATACATTTCTTTACAAATAAACATTACAATATTAATAACTATAGAGAAACCAATGAAATCAGTTCCAAAATATGTTAACTCTCACAAGGCATCTCTGAGCCATATCTTAAGGCATACATTTTAATCTTAGGGCTTTAAGAACATCTTTGCTTTAATTGGTTTTATGTCTCCATTTTCATCTTCTTCATAATTGGCACGGTCTCTTTTCTTGGCAAACTTTTTTCCAATTATCCCCACCAAGGTCTCATATCTTTTAGCCATTTCTTCATCTGATACATCAAGCTCCACTGTTTCATCTTCAACTTCTTCTGCTTTGTTCTTAGCATTCATCTGAAGCATTAATTTCTCAACCTCAGGATTAAATCCTCTGAATGACATTCTTCCATAGAGAAGATCTTCATATAACAAGAAACTCTGCTCTTCTATTATGAAACTCTCTTTCTCTTTAAGCTCTGGTAAATCCAAGTACCAATGCTCTTCACTAATGATTTTCTTTTCTTCCTCTTCTAGTTGTTTCTTAGTTTCTGAGTCCGGTCCTCTTTGAATGACCTTCATACGCAGCAAATTCTTGGACAACTTAGTTTTACGCTCAGACGCCATGCTGGCTCCCGCTGGGGTCCGGATCTCTCAAGTGTATATTTTAAAAGGATATGAAATAGAGAGTGAGTTCTATATGCATCTCAGAAACCAAAGTCAGGCAGAGCAGAGTTGAGCTGATGTTCCTTATATTTTAATTTTAGGAGCCTAGAGATGAAGGACATCTTCCAATTCTCATTTATCCAGACGGCTGGAGACTGAATAGAATACTGTTAGCATTATCCTTGTTGTTTTGACAGATACCCAGAGCTCTTTTAAAAGTAAATGCTTGATTGCTGTACTTGCTATGTTTTGATTACAGATAAGAAGCAAGGCCAGGCAAGACAAGCCAGCTAGCCAACTGCCAAAAAACAAACAAAACAAAAAAAAAACTTCACAAGGTGCTGCTCAGTAAATATTTTCTAAGTTGTACTCAAGACAGTAGTTAGTATGCTCTGTTGAAATAGGTGTGTGAACATAACTAAACTCTGGAGTTCAGAGAAACTTAATGTTTTTATGGGCTAAAGGCTTTTGGAGAAAATAGAACATGAAGTGAAAATTCAGACTCAGATTTTTGCTGTGGATTCTCAGCTCATGATAAACAGACACAGCTTTAATTTGGCTAAAGTTTCTTTTTTTTTTTAATTAAATCTTTATTGTTCAGATTATTACAGTTGTTCCTCTTTTTTCCCCCCATAGCTCCCCTCCACCCGGTTCCCACCCCATCCTCTGCCCTCCCCCCTCTCCCCCCACTGTCCTCATCCCTAGGTGCACGATTTTTGTCCAGTTTCTTCCCACATCCCCCACACCCCTTTCCCCCCAAGAATAGTCAGTCCACTCCCTTTCTATGCCCCTGATTCTATTATAATCACCAGTTCATTCTGTTCATCAGATTATTTATTCACTTGATTTTTAGATTTACTTGTTGATTGATATGTATGTGTTGTTGATAATTTGTATCTTTACCTTTTTCTTCTTCCTCTTCTTAAAGGATACCTTTCAGCATTTCATATAGTACTGGTTTGGTGGTGATGAACTCCTTTAGCTTTTCCTTATCTGTGAAGCTCTTTATCTGACCTTCAGTTTTGAATGATAGCTTTGCTGGGTAAAGTAATCTTGGTTGTAGGTTCTTGGCATTCATCACTTTGAATATTTCTTGCCACTCCCTTCTGGCCTGCAAAGTTTCTGTTGAGAAATAAGCTGACAGTCGTATGGGTACTCCCTTGTAGATAACTGACTGTCTTTCTCTTGCTGCTTTTAAGATTCTCTCTTTGTCTTTTGCTCTTGGCATTTTAATTTTGATGTGTCTTGGTGTGGTCCTCTTTGGATTCCTTTTGTTTGGGGTTCTCTGCTCTTCCTGGACTTGTAAGTCTATTTCTTTCAGCAGGTAGGGGAAGTTTTCTGTCATTATTTCTTTTTTTCTTTTTTTTAATATATTTTATTGATTTTTTACAGAGAGGAAGGGAGAGAGATAGAGAGTTAGAAATATCGATGCGAGAGAAACATCGATCAGCTGCCTCCTGCACATCTCCTACTGGGGATGTGCCCGCAACCCAGGTACATGCCCTTGACTGGAATCAAACCTGGGACCTTTCAGTCCGCAGGCTGACGCTCTAGCCACTGAGCCAAACTGGTTTCGGCCTGTCATTATTTCTTCAAATAGGTTTTCAATATCTTGCTCTCTCTCTTCTTCTGTCACCCCTATAATTCAGATGTTGGTACGCTTGAAGCTGTCCTAGAAGCTCCTTACACTATCTTCGTATGTTTGGATTCTTTTTTCATTTTGCTTTTCCGGTTGGGTGTTTTTTGCTTCTTTGTATTTTCAAATCTTTGACTTGATTCTTGGGATCCTCTAGTCTGCTGTTGGAACTCTGCATAGTATCCTTTATTTCAGACAGTGTATGCTTAATTTTTAGTTGGTCCTTTTTCATAACTTTGAGGGTCTCACTAGATTTCTTGAGGATCTCACTACATTTATCGGCGGTCTCACCAGACTTTTTGAGGGTCTTACTAAATTATCGGCGGTTTCTAGAAAGTTCTTGAAAAACCTTAAAAGTGTGGTTTTAAACTCTATATCCAGTCGTTTGTTTTCCTCAATTTCTGTCATTTGTGACCTGTTTCTTTGTCTCCGCATTTTTTATGCTTCCCTGTGTTGGTAGAGTGGCTTTGTGTGCTAGGTGTCCTATAGGGCCCAGTGGCTCAGCCTCCCCAATTACCTGAGGTGGACACTCTTGGTGCACCCCTTTGTGGGCTTTGTTCACAGTCTTGTTGTAGTTAAACCTTGATTGTTGTAGGTATCACTGGGAGGAATTGACCTCCAGGCCAATTGGTTGTGAGAATCAGCTGTGTCCACGGTGGGAGAACTTCTGTGCTGAAGACACCCTTATGAGGCAAGACTTGCTTCAGTGGGGCTTTGGTGCTCACTGAGTCTGCCCCCTGAGTGTGTCCCTTATGGATCTGAGGAGTTGTAATTGGATGGTCCCACTCTCACCACTGGGTACACTGGCTCTTGGATCTAAGGAGGTGCTAATTTAGCCTCTGCCTGAGGCTACCCAGCAGGAGCTACGAAGAGATCTGCAGATTCCCCTTCCTTGTTTGGGGTTTGGAGGTGCCCAAATGAGGCCCAGGTGTGAAGCAATGCAAGCTGCTGTGGGGCCTTGGGTCTTCTCTTGAAAGTTCTGGGTCTGTCTGGCCCAGCTGCAGTTTGTTAGGTAATTTTCAGATTGCAAAGGCCAGGGCATTCATATGCAAAAGCCTCTGCCGCAGCTTGGGTGGGGCGGGGTCTCAGGGAATCAACAGGGTAGAGCAAGCAACTATAGCTGATCCTCAGCCCTGCCCTAGGGGCCCCGCGTCTCAGTCTCAGTGTCCCAGTAGCTGCAAGCACCTTTGAGAGAAAGCTGCCCTCGAGTTCCAAGTTCTGCCCAGTGCCAGACAGTCCTGTTTCTCCCCGTATGAGTCTAGGTCCCCAGAGACTCACCCGGAACTGGAGTTCAGAGCAGTCGGGGTCTTGAGACTCCCTCCCGATTCAAAAAGACAGCCGTGTCCTCAGTTGCCAGCCCTTGCTGCGTGCGCCTCCATACCTCTGCACTTCCGCACCTCCTCTGAGTTTCAGTGTGCTTTTCTCTTTCCTTCTAGTTGTAGAATTTCCACTCAGCCAGCCTTCCTGTGGTTCTGGATGATGTCCTTTTTGTCTTTTAGTTGTATTTTTGAATTTGTTGTGCAAGGCAGCAATTTCTGGTGTTTACCTATGCCGCCATCTTGGTTTTCTCCTAATTTGGCTAAAGTTTCATTTGTTTTATGGAGTTGCCTGGTGAACTGCCTCTCAAATATGGCCATGATTACTGAAAAATGACAGCCAAAATTTATGCTGCTTTTGGGGGCTGTGCATAGATATAAATCTGCTTTGGTAATGAAATAATATTCTCTGATTACCAAGATCCAGAATGCACCTTTCATTTTGGTAGTCACTGTTTTATTTTCCTCTTTTTTTTTTCAGTCATTACTTCAGCAAATATTAATTGAGCCCTACTCTGTGTGTGGCACTGATCTAAGCACTGGGGATGGAGAGTGAACAAAGCATTTGTCCCTTTCCTTGTTCAGTAAATACTTATTTCATCTGTGCTGTCTACCAGGCAATGTTCTAGGTGGGGAATTAGAAAGGTAAGGACTCAGTACCGTGGGGAGAAAAGTGAGAGGAAAATAAAATGAGACCCATTCATAGATCTCTAAATGTCATTCTTTGTGGAGCTCTCTCCTGTCTAGTACCCTCTTCCCCGTGAATTTTAGCTGTCTTGGCCCACCCCCTCAAACCCCATGGCTCTGTCTTCTCATCTTGGAAAGATGACTGGACTTTGCCTTCTCACACTGATGCCTGACACTCTCCAGGCGGAATGATGGGGAATGTGTAGGGCTCACCTCATCTGTTACTTCTCTATTTGGGCTTACTGTCATCTGCTGCGTGCTGTCCAGTGTCTGAAAATTATTGTTTCATATATTCTGGTAAATTGTCTCGTGTCAGAGAGGGTAGGCTAAATCTGATCCCTGTTGCTCCATTTGACTGGAATGGGAAAATCACCAGAAAGGAACAGGCAGACAGTCCTCCAACTAACATTGGCTGGGAGTCCAATATCTAGAGCAGAAACCTCCTGGTACCTGGAGCATCAAGAAGAGCATCAAGAAGGCAGGGGATTGCCTCAGGAGCGTACCCAGATTAGCCCTGGGATTTAGGATGCTTTGGTGCCACCTTATAAAGCTGAAAAAGACCACACTTTTCCCAAGTAAATGAACTGCATCCCAGAACAAAACTCAAAGACATTCAAATGATTTAAAAAAACAATAAAATTCACAGTGTCTGACATTCAGGCAAGTTTTACCAGGCATCCCAAGGAGGAGGACAATTTTATGCATGATGAGGACAAAAACTAGTCAATAGAAGCACACCCAGAAATGACAGAGATGGTAGAATTAGATAAGACTTAAGACAGCTATTAGGAACATACTCCAAATATTCACAAAACTAGAGGAAGCATGAACATGTTGAGGAGAGACATGAAGTTGTGAAGAATTTAAAATAAGAGAATGTGGTAGGGAGTGACCAAAGTGGGGGTAGATGGGTGCTGCTTTAACTAGGATGGTCAGGATCCTCACGCAGGAGGTAATATTTGAGTTTGCACCTATTAGTCCATGGGAAGAACCTTTGTAGCAGAGATTATGATTTGTAGCCTAAAGTCCCTGAGGTAGAACAGCCTCGGCCCTTTCTGAGAACAGGGCAGAAGGACAAGGTGGCTAGAGCACAAGGAGCAGGAAGAATCGTGTAATGAGCTCAAGAGGCAGGTAGGGCCTCATGGGCTGTGCCAAGGCATTGGCTTTACTTCCAAGTGTACTGGGAAACCCCTGAGAGGTTTGTAGTAGGGGGGATGATAAGCTCAGTTGGATGTTTTAAAAATATCACTTTTATTCCTTTGTGGAAAATAGACTGTGCGGGGGCCAAGAGTGGAAGCTGAGAAGAGGGCTCGGAGCCCTGGCTGGTGTGGCTCAGTT